CAAACATGAATCTGCTGTGTCTCAATACCTGACTAATAACTATAGTGAGGTTTGTCACATCTGAATTGTCACCATTATTTATCCACTGATCAGTCTTACGTTAGTTTTGTTCTTGATACCTATTGACTTTTACTTCCAGTTCTTCGAGCAATATGAAAAACTCTTAACTTCTCCTAATTACGTGACAAGAAGGCAATCTCTGAAGGTTAGTTCCCTTGTTAATAGTCCTTTCTTTTGATTGTTCTTATGGCTCTTCCGCTGCTGATAAATGTTTCATGAAGTTTAGCTTCTCTCAGAATTTCTACTGGAGCCTCCCAACTCCCTTATTATGAAGCGTTATATAGCAGAAGTCAGCCATTTGAAAGTTATGATGAATCTACTGAAGGTATTCCATGTTGTCTCTCGCTTGCTCCATCATAGTAATGTTTCATTGGTGAGGATAACTGGTATGTGAGTGTAGGAACTGTTGAGTTACATAGTGTGCCACATCGGTATAAAATGGCATCTAAAGGGGTTTGTAAAGATCTATACCTCCACCTTGCCTCTTAAGGATTTGAATTGACTGCTCAAATTCTTCACATGGGCCATAGCAACTAATACAATCCAGGAGAACCACGCCATAAAAGCTAGCTATTGAGGTGGGAGATCCCAAGGCTACATAAGCCCCACATCAGCTCCCCATTAAACCAATGCGGGACTCAAGTCCCTTAACTAGCTTTTGGGGTGTGGTTCTCCGTGGGTCATACCAATGGTATCAGAGCTACCCAACGCCCTTCGTGCATGTCGTGCCTTGGATCGTAACACCGGTACTGCAGTGTTGTCCTGGGGCTAGAAATGGTCTAGCGCACAACCGTCAAGGACTATAGATACGGAGCGTGGTGGTTTGTTATGATCCTATTACAAGGTATGGGACTTGAGTCCCACATTGGTTTAATGAGTAGCTGATGTGGGGCTTATATAGCATTGGGCTCTCCCACCTCAGTAGCTAGCTTTTGGGGTGTGACGATCCCTGGTTGTATCAACAACCTTTGAGAGGTCCATTCTCAAAAGTAAGTGGTATTAGTTTATGTACCACAAAATTGGGTTACACGTGTAGGATGGTGTTAAGTTATGCATTATCTCCCATTTGGTATAGAAAGACATCCAGAAGGGTAGGATGCTCAGACTCTTTCAGCAGAAGTATGTAGTTGACAGTACTTGATGAAGGAACACTAGGTGACTCCATAGTCCATTCTCAGTTCTGTACTTATCTGGAATAGATTCAGGGGACAATATGAATTTTTTGGAGTGTTAAGAGTGGTCTCAAATTGCATCTCAGGACTTCCTCATGCATTATACTAGCTTTAGTTGGACTTAGGTGGAGATTTATAGTTTTGTTTCTCTTTTTCTCGTTCAATATAAAAATGATTTTATTTTTCTTCACATGCAGGACTCGAGCAAAAACATCCAAATCTCTGCTTTCCATATTTTCAAGGTGATAATATTGTCTTACCTTTAGATATCCTGCTTTCTGATAAGAGGGGAAAGGGGAGGAAGGTATCATTTTGCTAACTTTCTGGGAACTGTGGGAATTACCAACTTGAAAATCTGAAACTTTTTTCTGCATATGGAATCACCAGAAAATCTGCATAGTAATATCTCATGTAGCATGTGCCACTTGTAGCAAAAGATCTAAGCAGATTACTTAGCTCATAGTTGTGGAGATCCCTAAATACCTCGAAATGGAATCGGATGATTAATAGGTGCATGACTCTCATAACCTAGAACCCTAAAGTCCTTTTTCCCTCAAATGTTTTCATAGTATTTCTTTTAGCCATGATTATGCACCTGCTATGCAGAAATTCTATTGTCTCTTACATGTTACATAAGCAGACTCATCAATATTTCATCATGTGTAGAAGAGTGCTTCAAATATGATATTTCTTACTTGTCTCAATCAAACGTCAACAACAATGAAAGACAGTCAAATTCAAGAATTTGCTATTTGGGACACACGTTTCAGAAATCCAATGGGGAGGTTGCAAATTCTCGAGGATTTTGTGGCAGTGTCAATCCTCATTGAATTTGATTCCATTAATGTTCATGCTATAATAAGATATCCGAAGTGTTCATGATCTCTCTCTCCTTTCAGTAATTAAGCATCCATATGTCTGTGGTCTGGCCCTCTCTTTAACTCACATATAGCAAACGCTTAATGCACCTGGCTGGTTGCTCTTTTATGCCCTGTTTGCACATACAGATTTAAGGTATATGCAGTCCTCATGCCTATACAATTCTCTTGCAGGTGTTTGTTGCAAATCCAAACAAGCCTCGAGAAATAAAACTTATATTGGCAAAGAACCATGAAGGGTTATTGGCATTGCTAAACAACCTTGGAAAAGGTAATACATATAAGCATATAGGGTACAATTGCTCTTGAGATTTAGCATCAGTATGTTTATCAGTTCTCTGAATTATTCCATTATCACAGGTGGTGAAGACGATCAATTTGAAGAAGAAAAGGAGCTGATTATGAAGGAAATAGAAAAGGTGTCTCGGTTGGCTAACTTGGAATCTTAAGCATATTACCTTTTTTTGCTTTTTTGTGATTCATTCTCATTCTTTGAAGTTAAAGGAAATGTCTCTGTGAGGGTGCTGCTTGCTATAACATCATCTCCCTAGTCTAGAAAGAAATGTCATGTACTTACTTATGATCAAACCTATTTTCTTAAATATAAGCTATTGAGTGGAATTTTTTTGTGCAGTCTATTGACTTGTGAGAAAAATCAACCTTTATAGATGAAAAGATTATCAAATGTTCATGGACTGAGACTAGTCTTATATTTCTGCTGTTTATCAATCTTCTTCTTTGTCCTAGTGGTATCCACTATCCTCACTTTCTTTCTTTCCAGCAGCTGGCCTAAGACGTTTTCCGTGACCGAGAGGTATAGCAAGAGGGATCTTCCCTTAATAAAATAAAGTACCAAGACCTTACCTGTTTTTTGCTCCCTCTATTGATAGAAAAAGGGCACTCCTGCTATCGTTTCAGTGACTCATAGAGCTAAGCCTTATTCCCCCCACCCCTAGAAGTAGAGGTGATAAAGGGGTTGAAATGAGAAAAGTCTCATAAATAAAGAGAAGAAAGAGGGACAAATGAGAAAGGTAATTTGTCACATAAAGTTTTGTTCCTCTTTACCTATTTGTCCATTTGCAACTAATACAAAACTAAAAATCTTCTTAAAGATAATTAATGGGATCTATTTTAGTATACATTTCCTCTTTACCATTGTTTTAGTTGGTTCATTGTGTGAATGTGGCATGTTTTGGCCATCCACCAACAAAGTAATGATACATTGGCTATTTTCTCTTTATAAAATAGCATTTTTAATTATTAAAGTAAAGTTGTGATCATATCCACTATGAATGATAAGTGAGGCCTCTAATCACACCAACAAAAAAAAAAAAGATTTACTTTTGTCGATGCAATTATTGAATTTTTGTATTAAAAAATTTTGGTTTAGGAGTTCTTGACTTCTTTTTTTCCAAGTTTAGAAGTTTTTTTAAAAAAAAAAAAATCATAATTAGATTATTTTATTTTGCTGGAAAAAATTTCTTGAAGAAAATAATCTCTTCCATATTTAGTTAATTATTTTTCGGAGAATTTTTTTTGAATTTCTATAAATTAAAATATTTTTATTTCAACAAATAATAAAATAATACTTCAATGTAATCGTTTAAGAATTCTACTTAGGGAGATACTATTCTCACAAGTCTCAATTGGTCTTTTTTTCAATATTTGCTTTTTCCAATAGGTAAACTTTCAAGTTGACCTTTTTTTTTGGTGTGCCATAACTCTTCATGTTATTGTTAATTGGGATTGTTATCATGCTCATATATATATTATAGTTCATTTTTTCTTTGCATTATATTTTGAGTGTGTTTTCGTATATCAATATTAATATAATTCTGACTTTTGATATTAATGATGAAAATTTATTCACTATATTTAATTTTGCTCCTTAATTGTTTTGTCCCGGTGAGTTATCATGTTTAAAATTTTTATGTTATTTTTAAAAAAGTTTTGTACTTAATAATATAACCTAAACACAATAATTTATCTTTTATATACATTTATTATTAATTAACACAATAAATACGTGAAAAATACATACACTTAACTAGTTATTTAAAAACATAAAGGTTATGCTCTATCATAAAAGATACCAAAAAATCAGTGAAATAATAATATATTTCTTTATATTCTATCATTTTTATTTCCAATTGTTCTAAAAAATGTTTACACTATTATTAACGAAAGTCAGATTAGACAAAAGAGTTAAATATAAGGTAAGTATATCAATTTATATATATTACCTATAATGTTATGCTTTATCATAAAAGATTATGTTATTGTTAATTTGTTATAAGTAGTTGTCTTATATTATTGTTCTTCAATATAATGTGTGATGGTGAATTATCATGTTCCTTTTTAAATACATTTTTTATCTTAAAATTTTTATGTTACTCTTTTAAAATTTTTAACTTAATTACACACCTACAACAATTTATTCTTTTTATATATGCTATATTATTCGCGCAGAACACATACACTTAATTGGTAAAATTGATGAAAATTATTTTTCTTCTTCCACCTTTAAAAAGCAAATATTTTTATCAATTTTGAACTATAAACATTCTCCCTTCATTATTCCGTAATATCAGTTTTGCTCGTGCCAAATGCCAAATTGGATTTTACTATTTTACTAATCGCTATAATTATAAACTAATTATGCATACTATATATACCTAACTCATTTACTATTTTACTAATTCACTAAAAATTTAAACTAATTATGCATGCTATATAATATCAAGTGACTCTAGATTTTTTCAAACTACAATCAAAAAAATAAATGTTTAAATTTGTCGGTGGAGTATTTCCTTATTATATTTTTAGAAATGATTTAATTGTATCTTCCGTCTATTTAATAAAAATAAATCCATCGGAGATTATCTCCTGTACGTCTCCGCCGCCGTTGAGAATTTTCCGGCGAAGGTATAGGCCCTACAGCGTTTATCCATCAGCAATATAAAATCAAATCGCACTCAACTTTTCCCATTTCTCTCCTAATGGATTTCTTCAAATCCGTATTCGCCGACGATCCAGAATTTTCCGATACCGATGATGCCCCTACTTCTCCATCATATTCTCAATCTCAACCAGAATCTCCAAACCCTAACCCTAACCCTAACCATGATGTTCCAGCCATAACGAACGCATGGACTTTCGGTTCAACTTTGTTCAGAACCATAGCATCGAAATCGGAATCCGTTGTTCAAAACTATCGCCGCGATTTCGAGGAATTCAGCTCCGGGTTGAAAATTGAAACCGCTACAATCCGTGAAGTAGCTAGCCGAGCCGTTAAGGACTTGCCGGCTAGGTTTGAATCAGGCGCCGCCGTTGCACAGGAATCGCTAGAATCGGTTGGACAAGCTATTGATAATATCGGCTCCACTGTATCGGAGATTATTGCTCATGGTAAGGAGTCGATCCTTGATAATGATTCTGACAGTGAATTATCTGAAAATAGCAGTAGGAGTTTAGGGAGAAGTAGTAGTTTAGAGCAAAATTTGAACTTGAATACCAAACCTTATAGTAGAATTGATGCAACAATTCGAGCGATCCAGTGTGATGCGAAAACGTATTGCGATGAACCCGATGATATGATTGATTATAATGAGTGGAAATTGGGATTTGTATTAGAGGAGATGAATGGGGAAATTGAGGATTTGATGAAGGAAAATGGTGTAATAAATGAGATTTATAGCGAGGTGGTTCCGAGTATGATTGATCAAGAGACTTTCTGGAGTAGGTATTTTTACAAGGTTTATAGAGTAAGGAAAGCTGATGAAGCAAGGGCAAGGCTTGTGAAGAGGGCGATCTCGGGTGAGGAAGAAGAGGAACTGAGTTGGGATGTTGACGATGAAGATAATGAGGATACGGAAGGGAGCAACGGTGTTGCAAGTGAAAATGTAGCGAAAGAAGAAGTTGAGAAGAAAATGGATAGTTTACAGGTTGATGACAGGGCTAGGAGTTCGGTAAGTAGAGAAGACGAGAAAGAAACAGCTTTGGAGACAACAAGTGATGGCGGGGATGAGAAAGGAATTTTGGCAGGGAGGGTTGATGATAAGGGGAGTTCAGAAGGTAAGAATGATAACAGTGATTTTTCAGTTATTTCCAGCCAAGTGTCTTCGCACGAGGGAGATGACCTTGGGTGGGATGAGATTGAAGATATTGCAAGTGGTGATGAGATCAAGGTGCCCGAGAGAATGAGCCCGAACAAAGCTGATTTGAGGAAACGTTTGAGTGCTGCGGAGGACGCACATGAGGAAGAGTTATCATGGTATAGTGAGGATGATGATGAAGAAGCTGCCAAATCATGATAGTATGCTCATTGTGCTTCTAAAGTTGTTTACTTGCTCTCGGCTACTATTATAGTTTTACTTTCCAAGTATTCGATAGAGATGCAGCAGTAGTTATTCTGGATTTTATTTGATGGCACTTTATAAGGATAATGTATATATCATTTCTATTTTTTGGAATTTAAGAGAACTGTATCCAACTGCTACTTTGGTCTATTCTCGATGTTGACACTAAATTTGTATTGTGATCTGAGATCTGCATCGTACACCGAATTTCAAATGTGAACTTCCATGTGTTTGGCGCTTTTGAATCTCAAAATTCGCTTGGTGCTCAAAACAAAATATATTCTCCTGCAATTATGTCTATCTTATTTTTGTTCAGTACCTTTCCTCTAGGAATCTATGTATTTAATGGCCCTTGGGCAATTCATGAACTGTACCTTTGCTCTAGGAATCTTATTTTTTATCACTACCAATTATTTCGAATTGTTTGTTTGATATTTAGTTGCTTACATGGTCCTGAGCCCTCTTCATATGTCAACTTTGTCTCAAGATGTGCTACCTACCTACTCCTTTGATTTACTTTTATGCGAAATGATCATGCCTTGTCAATTGTCATTGTGGTGCACTGTGGATGAAAACCTGTATAGAACATTTACGTCTCTATCCCAAGCAAGTTGGGATCCGCTTATGAGTTCTCATTGATCATGCCACTCCACTTTAAGTGTGGAAAAAGTCTACTTCTTGAGGTTTGGAAGTGTGGGATAAACTCAGCTCCATGGTTTGAGGGATCTCTTGCTTAGAGTAGCTTTAGTTACAGGACGAGTTATAAATTATCCTTCATTTGAGAAACATATTCTTTACCTAAGGTGAATGTGAACACTCTTAGCCAAAAATCATAGGTGGCAAACAAGTTGGAAACAAGAATAAGGGGATAACCAAAGTGAGTGCTATTAGACAGTCAACATGTGCATAGGCAACTGGCTCCTCAATATTTTAATTACACTATCATGTAACTTTTTAGCATGAAGGAATAGGGTACACAACGCATTCAAAGCTAAAGAATATATTGCTATGTTTGAGCTCTGTCAGGCCAGTAAATGCTGTCCCATTTCTCAGAGTCGATTACAGTAAACATCAATGACACTTATTATGGAATTTCCAGGTAATTAGCCTTGACATTATCAAAACACTGGAAGTTAAGCGCTACTTACAAGTAATATACCAGTAGGGAGATAGCAAAGATATCTATCAATAGAACCATGTTTCTGCCATACTAATGGACAAACAAAGCAAAAATCTTAAAAATATTCCAATCACACGCACATCAGGTGACATTGCCCACACACTTAGTTGTCTCCCTGCCTCAGAATGCGCAGGATGGTCAAGAACAGGTTCAGAACATCCAGGTACAGAGTGACAGATGCCCAGATGTATTCATCATATGTAAACCTCTTAATCAGGTTGTCTGTGTCATATATAATGTATCCGCAGAAAATTATAGCACTCATTGCACTGTAAACAGCACTAGTTGTAGATCCGAGAGGGAAGAACATCTGCAAATGGACAAAGCCTCATAAGTTAGAGCTACAAAATTGGTCATACAAAATTTCTATTTTCTCGAATTCGGACAGGGTGATGATCAGAAAGACTGGTTACACCAACCTGCATAAATCCAGTCAGGATAAGTACAAAGAGGCTAGTAAAGAGTATTGGACCCAGGAAGCTGAAGTCCTTGCCCTTCTTAGAAGCCCAGAATGTGTAACCGGTCAGAGCTGAAACTACAGCTGATGTCAAGAGCAAGGCTTCAAGCACAATTCTTCCTGTAATTTTGAAGCGCATGAGTATGAGTGAATCATCAGAGCTGTTGAAGTATAAAGACATTCAACAAACACCAAAAATAGAAAGCTTCATAAAGCAGAGAAGCTACTCACCATCAGTATTAGCACAGGTCACACCCACTGTGAGACTCAAAGAAGCAGTGAAAAGGCCAAGGAAAATAAAATTCAATGGATGCTTCTGCTGATATATGTGCAAGGGCCACAACACTGCACACAAACAAATTATTACTGGTCTAGCTTCTACAAAGGGAAAGGAAAGTGCAAACAGGTCGATAAACTTTTGGACAATTTGATACGAGCAAATCCCGAAGCATCAAACCCATGCATTAACTACAAATTTGTACTGCAGTTCCAAACAGATCTGTATACACTATTAACACCACACCAATCGTCATAAGCCCGTAAACCTCAAGTAACCCCCCTTGTCTCAGCTATTCATGAACTTTATTATATACAATTCTGAAAGGAGAAAAATATTGATGCACTATCTGTGCAAACATAATCATTAGAGTTGATCAACACAATGACAGATTTACTAGCAAAACTGAAATTACGCTGGCTGCAACTACAATACAAAACACAAAAATCTCAAAATTTGAGTTTGTATCATTGACTGAACACCACGTGAAGAGTAACCTACAAGTCCAACAATTCAGAATACAGATATCAACAGTTAATGCACAAGCGAACAAAAACCAGAAAGATTATAACTCTACCTGGATTCAACGTCTACTATATGTTTATAAAATAATTTTAACCACGTCTAAGCAATGAAATTTTCCTCCAAGGGGGTCAGATGAACTCTTCGACCCTACCTGGCTCCATACCTGCCCAGGTCAACTTGTCCGTGTATAGAACATAAAGCGAAGCTAAGATAACCTCCTAATAGATAGCACAATTCCTATTAATCAAAACACATACACAAGAAATGATTCTAACGTGAAACGATAGATCTCAAATTCCGCTCTAGTTGTAGCATAAATAAACTTTATACGCTCAATTCAACGCATTAATAAACAAAGATGAATATCCACAATACAAAATCACGGAAAAAAAATCATCAAATTTCAGGTCATTATACGTCTAAGAAGTCAACTATTCAGAAATCAGATCGGCGACCAATAAATACAGGACATACACAAAGCAATAAATTACCGAAAAATGAACAGATCTAGGTTTACTTACGAACGAAAGGAAGGAAGATGAGGAAGAGAAGAAGGCCAGGACTTCCACGAAGGAGATCGTTGATCGGCGTATAAAGTACAGTAACGGCGGATACAAGGGTGGTGAGAAGGATCTGAGCAGCGAGAATCCCATAAACTTTACGAATAAAACCCCAACGCAATTGATTCTCTCCATATCCAAGACCTGGATACAAGGTTCCTTCCTCTATATCACCTTTGATTCCTCCATCACTCTCCGTGCTCAAACTCGTGAATCCGTACATCTTCGATCTCTCTCTCTCCTCTCTCTCTGCAACTGCAATGAATAAGGTTTGTTGCGGTGGAATAGAGAAGAAAGAGTAAATTCCTCGATATTTTGGATAATTCCAATAAAGAAAATAATAACTAGTGTAATTATTTAACAATAAATATATATGTAGAAGTTTCTTTGATGTTACTTGAAATTCTCTCTCCACTAAAAAATAAAAATATCCCAATATTTTTCTTTCTGCTAATTTACAAATCAAGCTAAATTTTGAGGGTGTTTCGGGATGACTCAATTGATTTAAAAATAATTATTTATAATAATAATTTGGGATTGATTTATTCTTAATATTTTTTTAATCGAGTCTATCACATTGCTTAGTACAATTTACATTTATATAAATATATTATTTTCTATTGGCATTTTATTAAAAAATTATATTATATAATTAAAATAATATTTATAGTGAGTCAGGGAATATAAACGCTTCATAACTTGCTCGCATAAGAAATATTTACAACCTTTAAAAAAAAAAATTGGGATCACATATAATTATTTTTCCAATACTTGTATCCTCTTATTGATACAATATCAAATATAATACTATCTGCCTTAGCTTTTTTTTTTTTAGGACATCTCTTGAAATTTAAACTTTGGATTTTTTTAGTAAATTTTAGATTAAGCAAACATAAAAAATATATTTGTATGCTATAGTTATAGTTTGTATAATTGCGTTTCATAGCAAATTTTATGTTTGCTATGGAGCATCAGATTTGTATAAATCGTTGTCGGCCTCTCATTTGTATAAATCGTTGGCAACCTCTCGTCTGTATGAATCACTAACAGTCTCTCAATTCAATTTTACGAAAAGGCTCAAAAATACCATTAAACTATCAAAAATAGTACCCTTAAACTATATTCTGACTCAAAAGTACCCTTCTCGTCAAAGTATTGGGTCATACTTGCCCTTCTAACTAACAGAAGTATGTTAAGTGCCACGTGGACGCCACATAAGCACCAAACAACTCTCACCTCCACATAGACTCATAAGATCCTACTTACTAATTTTTCCCTCATTTCTCTTAAGAGATACAATTTCACCCATTCTCTTTTCTCTAATACATAATATGATTTCCCCTTTCTCTAATACGATTTCTCCTAGGGTTTCACAAATTTCCTCTCATGGACGCCATTGGATTTCAAAGTTGATTTCGCGGTGGGGTTTCAACCTACAGCTGCGAAGATCACTTTGAAAACCAGCCGCGAAATCAACTATGAAATCCAACCGCGAAATGAGGAAAATCTGTGAACCCTAGAGAGGAATAAACAAAAGATTCTTTGCTTAACTCAAATAAACAAATAATTTTTCCCTAAATCTAACATACCAGAATATTATAAACAAATTCGCAAACCCTAACTATCCACAACTTTGAAATTGCAAAACATAATAAAATAAGAACAACGATTTACTAACCTACAGCCGCGAAAATCCACTTTGAAACCCCACCGCGAAATCAACTTTGAAATCCAATGGCGTCCATGAGAGGAAATATGTGAAACCCTAGGGGAAATTGTATTAGAGAAAGGGGAAATCGTATTATGTATTAGAGAAATGAGAATGGGTGAAATTGTATCTCTTAAGAGAAATGAGTGCAAAATTAGTAATTAGGATTGTATGAGTCTATGTGGAGGTGAGAGTTGTTTAGTGCTGGCATTCATGTGGCGTCCACGTGGTACTTAACATACTTTTGTTAGTTAGAAGGGTAAGTATGACCCAATACTTTGACGGGAAGGGTACTTTTGAGCCAAAATATAGTTTAAGGGTATATGTGAGCTATTTTCAATAGTTTAAAGGTATTTTTGAGCC